TTTTTAATTGAGATAATTCAAAACGTTCGTCTTTGCTGATGTTGCTAGGTGGCAACTTAGCGTTTTTGAGGGTTGCAGCGATTTCAGATCTTGCTACGTCTGCAGAGATGTGACTCAAGCCCTTGAGTGCAACGTCGACATGGGCAATGATATCATTAACCGGTAAGTGTCTCGGTGTGACAGCAAAGTTTAGACCTTTAGCTAAAACGGATTTCAGACCATCAGAAATGGAACTGTTACTGCGATTAATTACGACTTTGTTGACGTCTATCTTTTCGGTGTGTGGATCCGATTTTTTGCTGGAGAGGTGATTGAATTTGGAAATCAAATTGTCCCTACATTTGTTCGACATAGTGGCAGCCGAAGAGGTAGTCATATTGTCTACATGTTCCCAATCCGATGTAGACATTGTTGCTGTCAATTTTAAGTGTGATTTGTAGAGTGTCTTGTCTAACTGATCGAGTTCGGTGCGTGTAAGTCTGATTTTTTCCGAGATAAGAGCGAAGCTAGTTCTAGCTAGAATTCGTTTTGCATTGAGAGAAGTTGCAACAGCAGAGGTTAGTGTAAATGCGGTTGGTATTACCTTAGAGTCGCGGCATCTCTTCAGAAAGGTGAGAGACTCGATTAGTTGAGCCTTCTTATCCCGAAGTCTGTTGAATGATCTTAAGGATGTGTGGAATCCCTCCCCGTAGAGGCGGTTAAATTTCGATTTAAAGCTTTCGTGACTGCAATGATTCATCTTCTTTGGTTCTTTCGGTAAAGTCACGTAGAATGAGAATAAAATAATAAATTGATAAAATAAAATAACACAATAATATTCTCACGACGTTTCGGCCACAACACAAGCGGCCTTCATCAGGTGAAGGGAGCGAGACTGTCTGGTAGGACAGCGCTGGAGTGAGAGAGCCACGTTCAGATCACGGCTTTTAAGCTGTGTGAGAGGAACAAAGAGCCTTGACGAAGGAATTAGCATAAAATTTAGCATTGAAATGGCTGAATGATTAGCTTGTGACTGGTCACAGAAATAGCTATGTTAAAAGTTAAAGCATACACATCCGCAGAGGCACCCATTGTTAAAAGGAATTAGCATAGAATTTAGCATTGAAATAGCTAAATTAAGGCATACACATCCGCAGAGGCACCCCTTGATAATGGGATTAGCATAGAATTTAGCATTGAAATGCTGAGTGATTCGCTTGTAACTGCTACAGAAATAGTTACGTTGAAGTCAGAGCATACACATTCACCGAGGCACTTAGTACAAATCAAACAGGAGAATTTAGCATTGAAATAACTAGGCGAATTTAGCATTGAAATAACTGGGTGATTTGCTAGTGACTGGTCACAGAAATGACTACACATCTGAGCTATTCACAGTACTATATAGTGAACCAATAAAAACTAAAATATAAATTACCTTCATGTTATCAATAAACTCTATATTCTCCAATCAGCTAAGCTACCAACCATAAGTCGTTATATATCACAATGCTATATGGCGAAAAAATGGGTGGATTCTTACCCTCAAATTTCCGTACCACGGATAGCTACGGGCCCCGTTCAGACGGACGAGTTCGTCCATGGTCGGAACAGAGGAGGGGGAGAGAGACAGCTGCGAAGCCCTAGTATACTCCATGTTGTAAACCATACCATTAACCGTGGTGTGAGAGGTATTAAGAGGCAATGCTGGCGAAAGAGCTGCGGTCTGAAGGTCATCGTAAAATTACAATTAATTAAGAACAGAAATGATTTAACACATCTTTCCAGTGGTTACTAAGCCTGAATCCATCTTCTCGGTTGAAATTGTCTCTGTGCTTGTATATGTGAATGGCCTCATGAACGAATCTCTCATGGTAGCCAGTTGGTTTGCAAAGAACCTCCGTCTTGGAGAAGTCAATGTCATGTGAGCCCACTGAATTGTAACAGTGATCTGCCACGGCAGAGGAGTTCGTCTTACCGTGTTTCAAGTCTGCTTTATGTTCGCGGATGCGGTCCGAGATATGTCTTTTGGTTTCTCCAATGTAGCTACTACCACAGAGGCACTTTAGTTTGTAAACGCCCGGGTACTGTATGTCTGGAAGAGCATCTTTTACAGATGGAACTAAATCACGGATTTTGTGTACTGTGTTGAATCGGACCTGGATCTTGTGTTTATTCAGGATTTTGGAGATCTTTTTAGTGACCCCTGCAATGTAGGGTAAGGTGATGGTTCTGAGTGGCTCCACAAGAGGATCCTTCTTCATGACTGGAGTGATGGCTTTGCGGATTGTGTAGTCGGAGTAGCCATTAGCCCTGAGAGCCTGGTGTACGTGCTTGAGTTCACTGGTAATGTGTTCCTGGTCGGAAATGCATTGGGCTCTATGGTATAGAGCCTTGATGAGGCAGTTCTTCTGGGATGGATGGTGGTGGGAATCCGGTTTCAAGTAAGCATCTGTATGGGTAGCTTTCCTGTAGACATCAATTCCATACACCCAGCCATCAGATTTACCATGGAGGTCGAAAAAGATGGCAAACTACCCTTTCTGGATGTCTTAATTAAAAGGAGACATGATGGTTCAATGAGCCACTCTGTCTTAATTAATTGTAATTTTTTCGATGACCTTCAGACCGCAGCTCTTTCGCCAGCATTGCCTCTTAATACTTCTCACACCACGGTTAATGGTATGGTTTACAACATGGAGTATACTAGGGCTTCGCAGCTGTCTCTCTCCCCCTCCTCTGTTCCGACCATGGACGAACTCGTCCGTCTGAACGGGGCCCGTAGCTATCCTTGGTACGGAAATTTGAGGGTAAGAATCCACCCATTTTTTCGCCATATAGCATTGTGATATATAACGACTTATGGTTGGTAGCTTAGCTGATTGGAGAATATAGAGTTTATTGATAACATGAAGGTAATTTATATTTTAGTTTTTATTGGTTCACTATATAGTACTGTGAATAGCTCAGATGTGTAGTCATTTCTGTGACCAGTCACTAGCAAATCACCCAGTTATTTCAATGCTAAATTCGCCTAGTTATTTCAATGCTAAATTCTCCTGTTTGATTTGTACTAAGTGCCTCGGTGAATGTGTATGCTCTGACTTCAACGTAACTATTTCTGTAGCAGTTACAAGCGAATCACTCAGCCATTTCAATGCTAAATTCTATGCTAATCCCATTATCAAGGGGTGCCTCTGCGGATGTGTATGCCTTAATTTAGCTATTTCAATGCTAAAATCTATGCTAATTCCTTTTAACAATGGGTGCCTCTGCGGATGTGTATGCTTTAACTTTTAACATAGCTATTTCTGTGACTAGTCACAAGCTAATCATTCAGCCATTTCAATGCTAAATTTTATGCTAATTCCTTCGTCAAGGCTCTTTGTTCCTCTCACACAGCTTAAAAGCCGTGATCTGAACGTGGCTCTCTCACTCCAGCGCTGTCCTACCAGACAGTCTCGCTCCCTTCACCTGATGAAGGCCGCTTGTGTTGTGGCCGAAACGTCGTGAGAATATTATTGTGTTATTTTATTTTATCAATTTATTATTTTATTCTCATTCTACGTGACTTTACCGAAAGAACCAAAGAAGATGAATCATTGCAGTCACGAAAGCTTTAAATCGAAATTGTGATATATAACGACTTATTGTTGGTAGCTTAGCTGATTGGAGACTATATAGAGTTTATTGATAACATTGAGGTATTCTTAGTTTTTTCGGTAAAGTCACGTTGAAGAGAAACAACAAAATAACAAAATATATATAAAACAATAAAAAATTCTCACGACGTTTCGACCATAATGATGACCGTTTGAGTTATGGTCGAAACGTCGTGAGAATTTTTTATTGTTTTATATATATTTTGTTATTTTGTTGTTTCTCTTCAACGTGACTTTACCGAAAAAACTAAGAATATGAATTACTGCAGTCACGAAAGCTTTAAATCAAAATTTAACATTGAGGTAATTAATATTTTAGTTTTTTATTGGTTTACTATATAGTATTCATTATATAGTGTAGTGTATACCCAGTTACTGTTACTAGCTCAGATGTGTAGGCTTTGCCTTTAACATAGCCATTTCTGTGACCAGTCACAAGCTAATCACTCAGTTATTTCAATGCTAAATTCTCCTAGTTATTTCAATGCTTTTTTCTCCTGTTTCATTTGTACTAGGTGCCTCTGTGAATGTATATGCTTTGACTTTAACATAGACATTTCTGTGACCAGTCACAAGCTAATCACTCAGCTATTTAAATGCTAAATTATATGCTAATTCCTTTGTCAAGGCGCTCTGTTTCTTCTCACACAGCTTAAAGGTCGCGATCTGAGCTTGGCTTTGTTCGCTCCAGCGCTGTCCTCCAGACAGTCTCGTCCCTTCACCTGATGAAGGCCGCTTGTGTTGTGGCCGTAACGTCGTGAGAATTTGATTGTGTTTTTTATTTTATCAATTGATTATTTTATTCTCATTCTACGTCACTTTACCGAAAGAACCAAAGAAGATGAATTCACGACAAATTTGAAGTTGCCTGAAATAATCAGACTGTATCAAGCAACCCTAAGATGCTTTGGAGAGGAGGTGGTCAGGTGTCTCAGAGGTTTGATTGCTGAGCTGACACTGCTAAGGTCCTGGATTCGAAATCAGGTCAGCACTTTGACCTCTGAGCAACGTGTACATCTCTCTCTGTCGAGAATCGATATTCCAGGTTGATCACGTGCGATTGAAATGCTAATTAAAAAACAAGTTCTCACTTCTGCTACGAGTTATGTGCACACCTACAAGCTTACCTTTTTAAAACTGACATAAGGGTTTGTGTTCATGCAGTGATTCGTGACCGGATTAAGACCACCAACTCACCACAGTTGAGTGTGCAGTTTAATCACAGGCAACTGCCTGGATTCGAACTGAGGTTTTCAGTGATGCTGGCTCAAACGTTTGTGGATGTGTTAATGGCGATACTGAATACAAACACAATCCAATGTATTTTTGAAGATATTTTATTTTGCATATCCATCCCAAAGCATTGCATAACATGCAAATGACTATTTGCATGCCATTTCCTATAATAAAAGAGCATGCAATTGTAATCAATATACAAAAATCCAGATGGTGGTGGTGATGATACTGAATTTGTGGATGTCAACTTTGGAGAAACTGTTGCTAATTCGAGGCCAGTTGTCATAATTTGAATTTTCCATGCAGTGTGAAATGGAAAAAAAATATGAGCGTTTCTGAAAATAGCTGTCCCAACACAAATGAAGATTGGTTGATTGTTTGAGGAATCTTTGTCTTTCTGTCACCGTTTCGTTTGGTATCATTCAAACGTGGATGTCGTAATATACAATATTATGAAGATACGCTCTGCAGTGTTGGTTTGGTCTGGAACTGTTTTTGTCGTCGTTTTGTTGCCTTGCCCAAGTTTGCATTTAGTTTTGAAAAATCGTCAGGAATATACTTATGCTATTTGTACGTATATACTTTTTTATTGTTATTTACTTATTTATGTTTTAGCTACTTGCTTACCATTGCTCTACTTTGGACTCCTATCGTGTTTTGTATTGTTTGTTGTTGTAACTTGCTGACTCGCCCCTTCTGGACATCTGTAAAAAAGCGATTCATAGATCATCGGATTCCTCCAGGATAAATAAACATTATGATTATGATCATTTCATTGTGATTTCTGAGCGAACACACTCGCTTATGCACGGTATGTGCGAGAAAAAGTCGTTGAAATAACTGCATCTTTGTGTTAATTCTTTTTTCACCGATTCAAAGGTTCCTTAATTGCAAGAACTGTACTCTCTGAAATGGCGTATGTATTGCATCATATTTTATACCGCAGGTTTCAATGAATATTTTTTAAAGACAGGCAGCGTTGCATGCAGCATGCAGCTGGTAAAGCGCAGTACGTGCGTGCTTTTGCAATGCCGTGTCACTTTTCCTTTGTTTCTGCAGTCGCTTTGGTGTAGGCGAGGCCCTTGTAGACACCCTCCATTGGGATGTCGAAGGTGGCGCCGTTCAATAAGGACATGCGCACCGTTCCCTTGTACGGGAGATCGATATCTGCACGACCGATGGTTACGTCGATCACCGTGGTTTTGCCTGGAGGAACCGTGACATCGAATGAGAGGAGCTCGGTTTTCGATTCTGAATTCTCCACACCGCGCGTACTCTCGGTGCCAACGGTGAAACTAAAGCCACTTGCAACCTCCACGACATCCGGAATGCCGGCTTTGACGCTGATGCTCACGGTTGCCTCCAGCTTGTTTGAGATCGACCAGGAGGAGGTTTTGGTCAAGGTCTTGGAGGATTCCATTTTATAGGTTTGGGGGACAGAACCCTTATTCTTGTAACTGATTGATTTGATCTCTTCCATCTGGACTTTTGGAAGCTCTTTGTGTAGTGTAGGGTATGTTACGTTGATCAATTCTGAACGTTTCACCGAATTAATGAAGATGAAGCCCATGCAGTCGATGTCTGAACTGGCTTTGCCCTGAAGTCCAAGGCAGATACCAGAGCCGATGTCGACTGGGTACTCTGTCTTTAGGCCCCAGTCTGTCATCTGCACGAAGAAATCCCTGCCTTTGCTTGTCCTGAACTTGAAGGCGCCCATGCGTGTGCCAGCCCCATTCCCCCACAGTGAGAGGGACGAAAACAGCTCCCCGGGCTGGAACACAAACTCTTTCTGAGATCCCGAGGGACTGCCGTACTGTGCAGACCTTCCGTCCGTCAGCCAGGCCTTCACACACTTGATCTGCCACCCTCCAACCCACACCCATATTTTTTCCAGCGTTGCTCCATTGTTCCTCCCATCAAAGTTGAAGTCTGTTCCTCCTTGTCCTCCACAGGTGTGTAAGGCCAATGGATAAGGCATTTTCTCCTTTCTTCCTGCACATTACAAGATACAGATTTGGTAAAATTATGAAAGGAATTTCAACATTGTGATTTTCACAGTTTTGACTTTCAATACCACATTTTATTGACACATTTGTAATAGTCGTGCACTTAAAATTTTGCATGTCGACTCAGAAGTTATCGACAATTCAATAACAACTTCACTATTGACAACAAACGGTGAAAAAGCAGTATAACATCATGTTGGGCAATTGTAAAAAAAACATTGTGTCAGATTATTTACTAGCAATAGCTAAATTATAGATAAAGACAATGAAAGAACAGCAGACAATGACAAGGTTTGATACTTGACAAGTATGACTGAGGTTCAGAGAGCCTTGTCTGCAAGAGAAATACAGCTCCTCTGAAATAAATTTTGATACAACACAGTACAGCAAACGCTTTCCTCGCGGTTTTGCTGTTTTGGGTCAATTTTATTCACCGATTGTGCCCCTATGGCTCGACCATTCGCAGGCCACGTGGTGTTCCCAGCCTCCAGTGGGGAGGCAGTGAGGTTCAGCCGCTCACAATTTTTACTTCCTGTACACTACATGTTGTTTTCATTCTATTTACTTTAACAAGTAGGCTGTCAGGACCAAAATCATTCTTAATACAGGTTTTTTTTGTTAGATCGCGTAAATATATAAATGTGTCATCAAACCTGCAACCACCCGACACAGCCAATTAGTAAGGTTTGTCACATAAACAAACATGCTGTTGGTTACTAGTACAGCACACCGGTGTGTTAGAGAGCAAGGCCAACACACCGTGTGCTGTACTAGTAACGAAGTGGCATGTGCTGTTTACGTCAAACACCTTACTAATTGGCCCTGTCGGGTGGTGGCGGGTTTAAGACAATTTTATATATTTACGCGATCTAACCACAAAAACCTGTATTATGAATATATATACTGTATGAGTTATTTTTCAAACTAGGACACATTAATCCTATTTTACATTCAAAATACTTCACGTTTAATGTTTAGGTTGATGTAGGGTGTACATGAAACATAATGAGGGAGAGTCGTATTACAAATCGTGAACTAATCCCTAGTTTTCCTATTTGGCTTTGAGTTTTAGATGACGTGATCTAGTCAATGAACTTATCACTCCACCTAAAACAGGTTCCTTCATTGCTTGAGGGAAGCTCACTTCAAATTAAAACCTAAAAAATGCTTCCAACAGAACAAGTGCAGTACAGTACGCATCAGTACAATACAGCAAACCCTGTCTATCCGTGAGTGTTAGAATCTTGATAACGTTCACGAATGCAGAAACCTTCCATTGGAAAAATGGTTATGTTTCTGGTATCAGTGAACATAGTTTGAAGATGGTAAATGTTTGATAACAATGACTGCAAATAATCTCCATATATATAAAAGGCAAAGTTGTGAATATGTGTGTCTGTTAAAAATGTTTAGCGTACTTGCCGACATGCAACAAACTGGAAAATTGCCATGTGGGTACTTTCCAGACTGTACACCATGCAAAAATCATGAAAAGACAGTTTTAGCACGGTAAGTGAGCTGTGATGTCAAATCTGTCACGTGACCCGCGCATGTGGAAGCGTTACGCATTGTAGTGTCGTGGTTAGCGCGCTGCGCTACGAACCCGGCGACCCGAGTTCGATTCCCGCTCACGGCCACCACCGGTGACGATTATTTCAACCACTTCTGGGCTTCCCCTAGGTCGACTCAGCCTCAAACGAGCAACCGCTGTGGTGTGTGAACATTGCCACTGGGGAGATAAAGGCGGCCGGGTGTGGTGGATTCAAGTCCCGGGCGAAGCCGGGTAGTACAGCTAGTCTCCATATGTATAAAAGGCAAAGTTGTGAATATGTGTATCTGTTCAAAATGTTTAGTGTACTTCCCGACATGCAACAAACTTGAAATTTGCCATGTGGGTACTTTCCAGACTGTACACCATGCAAACATTATAAAAATACACTTTTTCTTTAGGGGGTGGGAGCTCAGTTATGGATTTTTTTTCACGGCAAGTGAGCTGTGACGTCAAATCTGTCACGTGACCCTCGCATGTGGAGGCGTAACACATTGTAGTGGAGTGGTTAGCGCGCCGTGCTACGAACCCGGCGACCCAAGTTCTATTCCCGCACACGGCCACTACCGGTGACGATTATTTGAACCGGTCCTGGGCCTCCCCTAGGTCGACTCAGCCTCAAAGGAGTAACTGTTGTGGTGTGAACATCGCCACTGGGGAGACAAAGGCCGCCGGGTGTGGTGAATCCAAGTCCCGGGCGAAGCCAGGTAGTCCAATGTTTTTTTTATTACCTTTGATCATGATGCTTTGACGACGATTGAGGTGGTGGTGATTGTGAGGAATTCAGGAACGATGCCTCATTGGGAGATAATGCAGTTATCATTTTAGCACTTTCGGGAGCACTTGTCATTACACTTTCCCTTATTGCATTCGCGTTCTCTTTCATTGATCTCACGAACGACTTATTTATACCAAAATGTATAAACGAGTCGCCTGGAAGTACGTATGTATAAAGTAAAAATGCACAATAGCAAGTTCAGAGCTATTTGCAGTTTCGAATGTAACATTCTGCACACATCTCCCTGGTGCCGGTGGTCCGGCATGTCCACTCACGAATACTGGGGCCTGGTCGGTCGCAAATAGGGGATTCGTCTACATTTAGAATCAGAATCAGAATCAGAAAGGGTTTTATTCGCCATGTAAGTTCACACCGACACGGAATTTACTTTGGCAGGATGGTGCATACATTCAACATATAGGAATCTAAAATCTTAAATAAGTTTTAAACAAGTCTTACTATAATAAGGGTTAAAAGTCTAACACTAAGGGGCTGAAGTATATAAAATTAAATAAATATCGAATATAAAATAGCTTTAAGATATAATTAAAAAATACAAATAGGGAAACATAGTTAATATCAGCAACGTGTCGTTATGTAGATCAAATGTTAAAAACAGTGTTAGCCCTTGGCCTTGTTTAACAGGCCAGCAGCAGATGGGAAGAAACTGTTTTTATGGCGTGAGGTTTTGGTCCTGATGGACCGAAGCCTTCTGCCGGAGGGGAGTAGCTGAAACAGAGAGTGACCAGGGTGGGAGAAATCGGCCATAATCTTCCTCGCTCGCCTCATAGACCTTGTCGTGTGCAGGTCCTCGAGGGTCGGTAGATTGCAGGCAATTACCTTCTCAGCAGTGTGGATGATACGCTGCAGTCTGCTCTTGTCCTTGGCAGTGGCAGCAGCGTACCAGACGGTTATGGAGGAGGTGAGGATGGATTCAATGATCGCTGTATAGAATTGCACCATCATTGTCTTTGGCAGGTTGAATTTCTTCAGCTGCCGTAGAAAGTACATCCTCTGTTGAGCTTTCTTGGTGAGGGAGCTGATGTTCAATTCCCACTTGAGGTCCCGGGAGAGAATAGTGCCCAGGAAGCGGAAGGACTCTACAATTTTTACTGGGGAGTCTAACAGGGTGATGGGGGTGAGTGGTGCTGTATTCTTCCTGAAGTCCACAACCATCTCAACTGTCTTTAGAGCATTTAGCTCTAAGTTGTTCTGGCTACACCAGGTCACCAGATTGTCAGCTTCCCACCTATAGTCAGACTCATCCCCACCAGAGATCAGCCCAATGAGGGTGGTGTCATCCGCAAACTTCAATAGTTTGACGGACAGATGATTGGAGGTGCAGCTGTTGGTATACAGGGAGAAGAGCAGAGGGGAAAGGACGCAGCCCTGAGGAGTTCCGGTGCTGATGGACCTGGAGCCAGAGACTTGTGTTCCCAGCTTAACGCACTGCTTCCTGTCAGACAGGAAGTCTGTGATCCATTTACAGGTGGTGTATGGCACGTTCAGCTGGAAGAGCTTGTCCTGAAGCAGGGCAGGGATGATGGTGTTGAAGGCAGAGCTGAAGTCCACAAACAGGATCCTGGCGTAGGATGCTGGGGCGTCCAGATGCTGTAGGGTGAAGTGGAGGGCCATGTTAACTGCATCGTCCACAGACCTGTTGGCTCTGTAGGCAAACTGAAGGGGGTCCAGGAGAGGGTCTGTGATGGCTTTGAGGTGTGCCAGGACCAGGCGCTCAAAAGACTTCATTACCACAGATGTAAGGGCGACCGGTCTGTAATCATTTAGTCCTGTTGGCCTTAGCTTTTTGGGCACAGGGATGATGGTGGAGGACTTGAGACAGGCTGGTACATGGCATGTCTCCAGGGAGGTGTTAAAGATGTTGGTGAACACCGGAGACAGCTGGTCAGCGCAGTGCCTGAGGGTGGCTGGAGAGACAGAGTCCGGCCCGGCTGCTTTGCGTGGATTCTGCCTCTTGAAAAGTCTATTAACTTCTCCCTCCTGAAAGGAGATAGTCGTCTCTGTAGTATTGGTGGGGGATGGGGCCTCTTGGGTTGGAAGGGGTGGTTCAGGACAGTCCAATTGTCTTTCAAATCTACAGTAGAACTGATGATTATGCGGAATTGCAAATCCAGAACTACAAGCTTTCAGCGTCACCGAACAATGCTGCCAACAAATACGCCGGCCAGAAAAAAGTCTGTCAAACACAAGACTCGCGGTATAGCGGGTAGTCCTTTACATGCTAGACTCGCGTTTTTGGGAGCAGTTCACCACATTTTAGACTCGCGTTATAGCGAGTTGTACGTCACAGGCTAGAGCCGCGTTAATGCGAGTAATGCGTCACGCGTTAGACTCGCGTTATAGTGAGTAGTCCATCGCGCTCTAAACTCGCATTGTCGCGATTAATCCATCACATGCTAGACTCTCGTTATAGTGAGTAGTCCATCTCCCTCTAAACTCGCATTGTCGCGAGTAGTCCATCACATGCTAGACTCGCGTTATAGCGAGTAGTCCATTGCTCTAAACTCGCATTGTCGCTAGTAGTCCATCACATGCTAGACTCGCGTTATAGCGAGTAGTCAATTGCGCTCTAAACTCGCATTGTCGCGAGTAATCCATCACATGCTAGATTCGCGTTATAGCGAGCTGGTACTATAGT